AGCTAGTACTACAATATTGCCATTTCTTTGGAAATATTTATACTCACTAGTCACTACTGATTTATGTTTTGATGAAATTCATAGATACAATTTTATACTTATAAGACTTTATATATTTCTACATTGCCCAGTAGTTGTTACCGAAGTTGAACGAAATTCGAAGACACGGCCAACTGGCCAAGTAGGTCCATGCCACAAGAGTCAGATAAGTATAAGTAAAAAATTGTAAAGATCACCAGAATAATTCATACATGTAGGGGTTCTACGGTAATATTGATAAAAATAATTCAAACTACTGATACAATTTCTATTTATACTAAATGGAGACATGAAGCGCCCTTATACGATTGGTTGCTTTCCATGCCACATGAGACCCCCATGATCTGGCATTAACTGCAGTCGGTCACATCCCGTTCGGGTGGTGCCGAACGGGTCTTGCCTTTAAGCAGACCATTTGGGTCCAACGATCTCATCCTGACTATTCTTTGTATTTCAGACCTTAAGAATGTGTTGAACTCCCGTTCAGGATCTATGACCTTTGGGCTTTCCTTGGTGCCTGGACTTCTAGGGATATTTTGGGCCGCCATATTGGGCCGGACCTCAATATCCTATCACATATTTAATGTTTTATGTTGCCAAACTTGAAGATGTAAATGTTACATCCAAAGAATAACAGAAGTATCTCTAAATAGGAGGATAAACATCTTTCTTAGTAGTCACATATTTAGTACACAATGTATTAACTCCTTTTAAACAGTGATATGATTTATCTAAGTGATTAACTTACTACTTCCTCTTTATGTTTTAAACTGCTATTCCCCATAACTTTTTGTCTTAAATTCCACCATTGGGCACGGTTCACGCGCATCGCGCCCTGCCCCGCTAGTGAATTGGGATAAACGCGGAAGGGAGTTAATGAGTGGATGTCCTCTCCCGCATGCATATATGCCTCTTGTGTATCAATCCCGTCTTTTTTTTAACCCGGCAGATAATTTTTTTAAATTATACGACGCATAATGTATTTACTTTGTAACACATCGAATGTAATACTACCTCCGTCCTGGTGGATTTTGCTAAGTGCAATTGTGAAAAGTAGGTGAGAAATAAGAAAAGTAAAAACTGTGTGGTTGAGATTTATGCAGAGAAGAGAGAAATGTGCAGAACCACAACTTAGTTGCTTTAAATTAGTTGCTTTAATTGAAAAGTGACAAAGTTTTTTGGACAACCAAAAAGGAAAAGTTGGCAAAGTCTAATGGGACGGAGGGAGTATACAATAATAATGCCAAGGAATAACCAAACCTAGTGCATTCAAAGCATTTTTTACTCTGCTTCACATAATATTTTGATAATTACTACCTCTGTCCCGCAAAGAAGTTCCCACTTTCCTTTTATGGATGTCCCAAAAAGTTCTCATTTCTATAATAGGACACCCGTTTTTGTTTGATCGGGTACGGGTCAGACTTCGGATCTGGCCTGTCTAGCGGATTCTCCTTCCCTTTCTTCTCAAGCATCTTGGCCCTAATGTCCCTACCAGACTCAACCCTCTCCATTTGAGAATCCTCTTTGCCCAAATCGTCTTCCCCCTCCCACTGATCAAAACAGGGTGTTCTGGGTCGCCCGATTGTCCGGGTCGGAGTCGCAGGCAAATTCCAAATACCTGATTTTGGTGATCAAGAAGAGAGCATTTGATCCCGTCATTCAAGAATGTCAAAGTCTATTTTCTTAGGAGTTATTTCTATATTTTACATTTTTTAAAAAGTTCTTTATATTTTTATTTAATTGTTTTGGGATTTTTATGATCAGTTTTTTCTTTTTAACTCTTTTAATTGAGTTGTCTATTTTGATATCTTTACTATTTTATATTTCTATTTTTTTCTTTATCACAACTTATATGAATTTTTTTAAATTTATAAACTTTCTTAATTTCTTTTTCATGAATGACATTCTATAGTAGATCACGGTGGCTTAATTGATTGTATTTTCAAGCAAGCAATCTTCTATGATACTTTTTTAGTATGTGAACTCAAGTGATGGATTTGATTTTTTTTATTTGATCGTTTTCCCTTCTTAATTTAAAGACATACTACATCTATTATTAATTAAATTCAAAATGATAACACAATTCATATGATCTACTTTGACTGCATTTTTCTATTAATGCATTTGAGATTTATTTTAGAAAATATTATATTGTTCAATTTGTCTCGTTTTAATTTAAAAAATCTCAATTTCAAAATATTTTACTTATAGAGAATAAATATATGCTTATTGTTGTGGTCTAGTACCAAATGACCCGAAGACCCAACACTAACGTTGGATTGAACTGCTACAGTAATGTATATAAAAGGAAATATAAAATCTGATCTAACTATTCAAATAACTCAGCTTGTATTAGCACAGACAATTACACAGAAATGACTGAACGGTAGTTACAGTTTAAAGGCTAATATGAGAGCTAGAATATAACATAAGCTTATGAGTCCATCAAATCCAACCCTTACAATGATTTAACAATTGCTATTTATACTAAATGGAGACATGAAGCGCCCTTATACGATTGGTTGCTTTCCATGCCACTTGAGACCCCCATGATCCGGCATTAACTGCAGTCGGTCACATCCCGTTCGGGTGGTGCCGAACGGGTCTTGCCTTTAAGCAGACCATTTGGGTCCAACGATCTCTTCCTGACTATTCTTTGTATTTCAGACCTTAAGAATGTGCTGAACTCCCATTTAGGATCTATGACCTTTGGGCTTTCCTTGGTGCCTGGACTTCTAGGGATATTTTGGACCGCCATATTGGGCCGGACCTCAATATCCTATCACATATTTAATGTTTTATGTTGCCAAACTTGAAGATGTAAATGTTACATCCAAAGAATAACAGAAGTATCTCTAAATAGGAGGATAAACATCTTTCTTAGTAGTCACATATTTAGTACACAATGTATTAATGTTCCACCAAATATCATCATCAATCATGTATTCATGTTAGTCATTGTTTCTAGAAACACATTTTTTTGTCGAAAATATAAAAAATGTTAATAGTCATGATGTTGTTGGGAGTAGATTTGAACACTTGTTCCAATAAAGTATATGACAAATAAAGAAACCAAAAACAAATTGTTATCTTTATTGACATTGTGAGATGTTCATAAATGTGTTTCTAGAAATTCTTTTTGCTTTTGTATCTTTCTCCAAAATATTATTGTAAGGCTATGACTAAGAAATTCATCCACAATATTCATTTGGTGAGAGTCAATGCAACTACTTCTTATTGCCTTATTGGTTGGACAACTGTTACTCTCCTCTCGATATTATCCTTGTCGTTTTTTTGAATACTCCATGAAAGGCCGGTTTTTATAATGATATTTAGAAACCATACAAGACATCCTCCAGACAGCTATGACAAAGCCGATCGTAAGTCCTAGAAATAAACTTAGAATCAGTCACTTTATACAAAGAAACCTGATTCGCTAGACACAAAACGGACAAATTTAATAAGCCTAACACAATAGGAACTGAAAATATTGCCTATCAAAAATACTTCAGAAATTCAAATATCTAAATCAAACCTATTTGAAGTAAAATAAAAATAAGTATTACTAAACAAAAAATAAAACTGAAATAAAGCTTTTTGACGTGCACTCGTCGTTAGGTGCACTCAAAATAAATAATCAATACTAACACTTATACGTAGTATAGCGTAGTAGAGTTCGTATCCACAGGTAGGCTTGGACTCGGGTCGGGCCACCCGGCCCGTGGACCGGCCCGGCCCGCTACTGTGCGGGACCGGGACCGGCCCGGTTCTCGGGTCCGGGTCCGGGTCGGGCCTAGGCCCGGGGGTAGGGCAGGTCCGGGCTCGGGTCTGAATTTTGGTGAACCGGCCCAGACGGGTCGGGCCCGGGCCCGGGCCAAATTGATTTTTATTTTTATTTTTTTTCATTTTTGGGCTTCCACCCGGGTTGGGCTTGATGGGTAGGACCGTAGGATGGGTTTGGGGGGGTTTGGAGGGGGGGTTAGGAAAGCAAAAAAAAAAAATCCAACCCGGAGGCCCGGCCCGGACCCGGACCGGACCCGGTGGCTACCCGGGCCGGTCCCGGGTCCACCATTCTTGAACCGCCGGTCCGGCCGGGCCTAGGCCCAACCCGGACCCGGCCCGGACCCGAGTCCACCCCTATCCACAGGGAAAGGAATAATTCTCTTTTTATGATACTTAGTAAATAAAAAGGGGGGATTTGGATTGAGTGATTTAATTTAATTAAGAACTAAGATGAACAACCTATATGTGTTTTAATTCAAAGATAAAAGGACTTGGCATTGCTACTTTCCACTTGTTGATATATTTTAGTCGATCATTGTTATATCTATAACTTATTCCCTCTCGAATACTCAATCGGGGAGTGTATCCACTTCATCGAGGATAGTTATTAAAAACGACCGTTCATTAATAACCCTTACTATTAATCAAATATAGAACAACGCCTTATACCGATTTAATAGTAGCATTTAATCTTTCTAACTCCTTGATGAAATCAATTGAGATTGATAACCTCAACACAAGCGGTTTCGGTTTAACCAACAAAATTAATCCCTCTTAAGTTTATTAACCACGACCGTGCATTAATAAACCGAAGTTACTTACTTGTGAAACCATCAACGATTAACCATCGGTTCGTTGATCGTTTCTAGTAATAATTAATATATGAAACAAAACTAGTTGATCCTTTAAGTAATGTTCAAAATATTAATATGAAATAAGAGTAGGAATTAATTAATATTCAAGGAAGAATATTATTAATGAAGATGAATCCTACTATAATTAATATCAAGATGTTAACTAATTGTCATCTTAGCAACACTCCTCAATATTAATATAGAGGAAGAAAATACCATTCTAACTAATGTCGAGATGTTAACTAATTGTCATCTTAGCAACACTCCCCAACATTATTATAGAGATGGTATTAAGGAAAGAACTATTAATTAATATTCAAGGAAAGAAGTTTAAGAAAATAACTCACAACTTTAATAATCAACAAGCTTCAAGAGCAACACCAAGAATGGAAGTTTAGCTCCTCATTTGGAGGCTAAACATAGCTAGAAAAATATAAAGAAATGCTATTCTAAACTGAGCTAAAGAGAATGGAAGAAGGGATGATTTTTGTGAAGAAAAAGTGTGCTATTTATAGGTGTTTTTCAACACCTTTGGCCGGGTACCCGACCGGGTCAAGTACTCACCCGACCGGGTCCATGTCAAAATCAAATATCCTCCACGTTCTGGCGATCTTCAGCATGTTAAAGTGTCCGGGTCAAGTCAGACCCGACCGGGTGGGGTAGGGGACCCAACCGGGTGAGTGCAAAAATTGGATATTCTTCACGTTCGGGTGATCTTTGCACACCGGGTTGTCCCCGGTCACTTCTCACCCGACCGGGTGAGGTAGTGGGCCCGACCGGGCCATGCACTTTCTTTGCATTTTCGTTTTTCACTTCTTACCCGACCGGGTCAAGTATTATACCCGGTCGGGTGTTTGCTCCTGGGCAGCCAAATCTTCTTTTTCTTTACTTCAAAGTCTTCCTTTCCAACACCACAAATCCTAACTAAACTTTACAACTTACAAAAAAAGACTAAAATACAATTACAACTGAAATCACATAAATGTTTACAAACTAAATAAAACGTCAAACAATTAACATAAATCAAACATAAAAACATGTAATTATGCACTACTAATTAGTGTGCATCAAACACCCCCACACTTAAACCTTTACTCGTCTCGAGTAAATCAAATCAAATCCAAGAAGTCCTAAATGACAAGAGTAGCAGCACCAACATCCACAAGTGTTTATAACAAATACATAAAGTATCTCCAAAACAAAAAGAGTAAAGATGGGTCTTCAATTTCAATCCGAACTCTCAATAGTAATCGCCCTCAGGATCCTGCAAAATCAAAAGAAATAACTTTCTCTCATTCTCTCATTTTGCCTAGGTGCCCTTTCAGGTTTTCAACCCAGCTTCCTACATTTTTTTATTTTTATTTTTTTTTTAATTTTTCTCAAATCTCACAAACTCACTCTTATTTTTGCTTTATTTTTGCTTAAGCTGCTCTTTGTGGGTTTTCAACTCAACAAGCTTTCGTTTTTTTTTTTAGATAACAAGAATAAAGAGTGTGAATGTGAACATATCGGGAAGATCTCTTCACCCCCACACTTAGGATCTGACAATGTCCCTAGTGTCCGCCTAGACCTCCACCTTGGTGTCCGTCCTCATCCATGTGATCCCCGCCATAACCACCATCGTAGCCTCCACCACCGGAGCTCGATCCTCCAAAGAAATCCCACTGAGAGGGGTCATACCATGATGGTGCAGGAGGTGGAGTGGTCATAGAGGAAAAGGAGCCCTGGTGTGCTATATATGAGTATATCGGACCAAAGGTTCTACGTTGATCCTCCTCAGATATTCGTCTGTCTTCCTCATACCTACGCCAGTCTGCTTGCCGCTGCTCCTCCATCCTCACAATGCTCTGGTTGAGCGTGACCATGTTATCGAGCATTTGTTGCTCGAAAGGTGTGTAGTGGAATGCTTGAGGTTGTGGTTGTTCGAGTATGATTGGGGGTTCTTCATCATCTTCATCGTGGATGGGTTCTTCATAATGATCCGGGATTGCCCCGGGAAGACAATAGTGATGACCATCCCCGATTTGGTGATTGATGATATCCAGGGGGACGTCGGCTGAGGGTATCTGGAGGTAGATGGAAGTGCGTGGGAGAATGCGCCAATTATAGATGTGTGCCCCAGTTGGTGTTGTGTGCGAGGGGACCAAGTCTAGCGTCTTTTGTAAAAGCCATTCAGTGCAAATAAGGTGTCTTGAGGTGATGGGGCCGGGGTCTATAAAACCATATAAAGTGGCTAGATGTGTGATGAGGCCCCCCATAGCAATTGGTCCTGTTGATGTTGCCACGTTGTTGAAATGAGTCCATAAGATGGTGGCAACATCAACTTGATTTGGACCCGGCAAAACAGCTTGTGCTAGAACACACACATCCCAGATACGTGTGTGATGATTATTCGGTCTTCCGAGGAAACAATTTGAGCAAAATTTTAAGAATAGTCGGAAGACCGGATGTTGCACACGATTCACACTCAGTTTAGATAGATCAACCACATTCTTTCCGGTCATTCTTCTCCACAATTCATATCCCACAAGAGAATCATATGTACGTGCTTCATCAAACCATGGGAGACCAAAATGTTGAACAAATTCTCGTTTGGTTAATGAACGATCCTCATTTAGTAAACGAAAGGTGATTATGTCATTTGCATGATCATTCACATCTTTTGTATACGCAAATGAGCTAAAAAATTCATACACCAAATGAGGATATGTCACATATTGCATTTCAAACATTCTAGATATTCCAATTCTTGTAAATATGTCACGCATCACAGTATCAATCCATAGTAGCGCTAAAGTAGTTAAGCACATAAAACGGGATTGCTTTACCTCCCTTTTTGATTGGTTGATGAAGTTGTTCCGTTGAGCCTCCGTAGCAAACTCCGCGCTCTCATAGCCCGCTACCGGTGGGATAGCTCGATTTCCCCTTGAGGAAGAGGCTTTTGACTTTCTTGGAGCCATTGAAGTTCAAATTTTGTTTTTTGGATTTTTTTTTTGTGATTTTCGGACTTTGGGGTAGGGTGGGATTTGGATGGCTTTTATGGGTATGGGGTTGAAGAGGATGGTGAGGAGAGTAAGAATATGGTATTGGTTGAGGATTTTTGGGGAGATTTCGGACCTTGAATGTCCAAGAATGGGGATTTTCGAATTTTGGGTAGGGTTTTTGGGTTTGGTTGATTGGGAAGGTTTTGGGAGATTTTATGGGTATAGAGATGGAGAGGGAAGTGAGGAGATGAAGAAAATGGGGTTTTTTAGTGGATTTGGTTAAGGAAATGGAGAGATTCGAAGGTTTGGGTGTTTGAAAATGGTGGATTTTGGGAATTTTGGTGTTTGGGAGGAAGAAGAAGTGGGAGGGGAGGGGTTGAGCCCAACCTGGTATAGTCTGTTTTCCCGTTCGCCCGGTCGGGTGGGGTAGTTTACCCGGTCGGGTGAACGCTATTGAACCAAGGCAGAATGTTTTTGTTAAGTGGCCCGGCCGGGTGAAGTGGTCTACCCGGTCGGGTGTAAACTGTTCACCCGAGGCAGAAAGGTGTAGCTAGGGTGCCCGGCCGGGTATAAAAGTCTACCCGGTCGGGCGTAAAATTAATTTTTGTTTTTTTTTCGTCTCGCCCGGGTGGTTGCCCGGGTGTTTAGTTTTTAGAAGTAACCCGACCGGGTTAGGGTATTTCTTCGGCCGGGTCCAATCCCAGTTCATTTTTTTTTTTTAATTTATTTTATTTTGAAAAAAAAATTATAACACACGAACCAGAAAAAAAATGAAATTTAAAAATAAAAACTTGGGTTGCCTCCCAAGAAGCGCTTGATTTAATGTCGCGGCACGACGTTATTTTTATTTTATTTTTTTATTTTTATGTGGGATCGTGAACATCCCTTGTTTCATTTTTCCTTTTCGGCCTTCTCCAGTAAGGCCGGGATTTCTTTTCTGGTATCACTTCAATCCCAGGTGGGATCCATTCTCTTTTTGAAAATTTGAATAATTCTTCTTTTTCAAAAAGTTTGATTTTCTCTTTTTTTTTTCTCAACAAAAATATTCGGGGTCTGTGGTTCACAAACATTTAGAGCACAAAGAGATTGGTCTTTAATTTGTTTTTTCGTAGAATCAAAAATGTTGAATTCTACTTTTTGATCATCAAACTCTAAAGTTAATGAACCATTAGCCACGTCTATTTTTGTTTTTGCGGTTTTCAGAAAAGGCCTACCCAAGAGGATGGGTGTAGTTTGGTTATCATCTCCCATTTCCAGAACATAAAAATCAACGGGGAAAAACAAATTTTCTGCCTCTACTAGCACATCTTCTACTACACCCTTCGGGTAAGTATTAGACCGATCCGCTAGTTGAATCACTACACCAGTTTGATGTAGTGGGCCGAGTTGTAAGGATTTATATAAGGAAAAAGGAATGACATTTATTACTAGTCGGGACACCTAAATTACTCTCCACACTGAGGAAGATGAAACAACCTGGAGCGCCAGTGCCCAAGAAATAACCGTCATAACACAAAACAAATACAATCATAAAAGAAGAACACTCTAGTTGGGTCATACCCTTACAAAGGAAACCTTCGAAAGCTGATGTCACCAAGATCAAGTCATGGAATATGTTACAGATTATGAGACCTCCACCTCCGTTTCCTCTTTCCAATCCTAATCTAGTTGTTAAAGTATGAACAGATTAAAAAAGATTTAGAATCGTACAATTTAATCAAATTTGGTATGAAACAATCTAGTGGAACAATTCAAAAAGGAATGATGAATCTTAGCTTATGTGACAAAAGGAGTAGATAATATTTTTGTACTTTTGTATATGCAACATTGTGTAATCCATATATTCAAAGTGAATTATTTGAATGTTTTAGTAATAGCGATAATGGCATATTAATGATGAATAAAAGAGTGATACATCAATCATTTTAAATTTAATTTTTCAGTATAAAACAACATATCTGAGAGTAAAGAAAAAGCTCCCAGTAAAAAACTTAAAAAACGCAGAGTAGAAAGCGAAAACTTCTAAATTAATTTTTGTGTGGAAAACTTTTAAATTAAGTTTAAAAAATCAAATTTAATTAATAAAGTAATGCAAAAATGTAAAACAAACGTATATGTGATACGTACGGAGTATATTATGTAATGGAATATTATTACATAATATATGTAGTATTAGGTAACACAAACATATGCGTAATATATACTACGTACTACCTCCGTCCCAATTTAGTTAGTCATCTTTGACTTTTCCAGTCAAAGATAATAAATTTTGACCAATTATTTTAATAGAAATTGCTCTAAATAGGAGCCAAAACGTTTTGAAATTCCAAAATATGACAATCATGTTTTTTATTCCCTGAATAGGGGTAATCTGCCAAATTTGGGGAAAATGTCATGTTTAAAGCCTAGTAATGCCAAACTTGGCAGAAATTTACTCATGTTCAAGGAATAAAAAACATGATAGTTCTATTTTGGAATTTCAAAACTTTTTTGCTCCTATTTAGGAAATTCTCTCTTATTTTAACTAATATATTTATGCAAAATTTAATAATTTTATACTCCTATGATAGTATTTTCAACAAAGAATATTTTCATATTATGAATATTTTCTTTATAAAAACATATAATCGGTCAAAGTTAGAAGACATTGACTTGAAAAGTCAAGTTTGGCTAACTAAATGAGACGGTGGGAGTATTATATAACGAGTATTATGTCATGCATGTGGTAATCAATTTTTTAAAAGTTAATAACCGCGTCCTCCTCAATATATAGAACGAAGCTAAACAATACGAGTAGGAATTAAAAATTCAGTAAACAAAGCAAAGATTCAACTTTCAAAAAAATAACAGACTTGGAGAAGGCCGGGAAAAAGGGAGGGATATGACGGGTTCTTTTATATCCCTCCCTTTTTCCCGGCCTTCTCCAAGTACAAAAATATTATCTACTCCTTTTGTCACATAAGCTAAGATTCATCTTTCCTTTTTGAACTATTCCACTAGATTGTTTCATACCAAATTTGATTAAATTGTACGGTTCTAAATCATTTTTAATTTGTTCATACTTTAACAACTAGATTAGGATTGGAAAGAGGAAACGGAGGTGGAGGTCTCATAATCTGTGACATATTCCATGACTTGATCTTGGTGACATCAGCTTTCGAAGGTTTCCTTTGTAAGGGTATGACCCAACTAGAGTGTTCTTCTTTTCTGATTGTATTTGTTTTGTGTTATGACGGTTATTTCTTGGGCACTGGCGCTCCGGGTTGTTTCGTCTTCCTCGGTGTAATTTAGGGCTGCATCTGCCTAAAATTTAGGTGCATAGAAAATGATAGAGCTCGTCCTCCAGAACTACCTTCGTGCTAATTCAAGAAGAATTTCGTGGAAAAGCTTTATTTCAGTTTTATTTTTTGTTTAGTAATACTTATTTTTATTTTACAACAAGTAGGTTTGATTTAGATATTTAAATTTCTGAAGTATTTTTGATAGGCAATATTTTCAGTTCCTATTGTGTTAGGCTTATTAAATTTGCCCGTTTTGTGTCTGGCGAATCAGGTTTCTTTGTATAAAGTGACTGATTCTATGTTTATTTCTAGGACTTACGATCGGCTTTGTCATAGCTGTCTGGAGGATGTCTTGTATGGTTTCTAAATATCATTATAAAAACCGGCCTTTTATGGAGTATTCAAAAAAACGACAAGGATAATATCGAGAGGAGAGTAACAGTTGTCCACCCAATAAGCAGTGGCGGACCTCATGTTGTTCAAGGGTGTTCACATGAACACCCAAAAGTTCCAATTTTTTATATCAAAAAATGCCGTTTTGATCAATTTAAAGAAAACCTGCCATCATTTCTAGGCAATCCTCACCTGCTTTGTAGGAGCTAGCAATTATGGTTCGTAAAGAGTTCCCAACTCCTCAATCCCCACCGCTGCTTAGCCAACACTGGTAGCCGAGTAGCAACTCGCTCCTCCAAATCACACCTTGTAGTCAGCAAATTCTGTACTTGACAATCTATATTCATTATCCATACATATTTAATTGGAGGAGCAATAGGTATGAGGTGCGGAATAGTTTTTGTGGTTAATTTATTGGTGTGGCAGTATGGTTATTTTCTTTTGGTGTGGCAGTAATGAATGTGATTACTGATTTTTTGCTTAGTTTCTTTGTAAAAATTGTGAAATTTCATATGATCGAAATTTTAAATATATATTCCGAACACTATATTATGTGGTGCTTTAAATTGTAACAGTTTTTAAAGACAAATACAATTGAAGCATTACAACGTTGCACAAGATGGTTGTGATATTTTACTTCAATTTTGAACACCCAAAACATAAGAGCTAGATCCGCCACTGCCAATAAGAAGTAGTTGCATTGACTCTCACCAAATGAATATTGTGGATGAATTTCTTAGTCATAGCCTTACAATAATATTTTGGAGAAAGATACAAAAGCAAAAAGAATTTCTAGAAACACATTTATGAACATCTCACAATGTCAATAAAGATAACAATTTGTTTTTGGTTTCTTTATTTTTCATATACTTTATTGGAACAAGTGTTCAAATCTACTCCCAACAACATCATGACTATTAACATTTTTTATATTTTCGACAAAAAAATGTGTTTCTAGAAACAATGACTAACATGAATACATGATTGATGATGATATTTGGTGGAACATTAATACATTGTGTACTAAATATGTGACTACTAAGAAAGATGTTTATCCTCCTATTTAGAGATACTTCTGTTATTCTTTGGATGTAACATTTACATCTTCAAGTTTGGCAACATAAAACATTAAATATAGGATAGGATATTGAGGTCCGGCCCAATATGGCGGTCCAAAATATCCCTAGAAGTCCAGGCACCAAGGAAAGCCCAAAGGTCATAGATCCTAAATGGGAGTTCAGCACATTCTTAAGGTCTGAAATACAAAGAATAGTCAGGAAGAGATCGTTGGACCCAAATGGTCTGCTTAAAGGCAAGACCCGTTCGGCACCACCCGAACGGGATGTGACCGACTGCAGTTAATGTCGTATCATGGGGGTCTCAAGTGGCATGGAAAGCAACCAATCGTATAAGGGAGCTTCATGTCTCCATTTAGTATAAATAGCAATTGTTAAATCATTGTAAGAGTTGGATTTGTTGGACTCGTAAGCTTATGTTATATTCTAGCTCTAATATTAGCCTTTAAACTGTAACTACCGTTCAGTCATTTCTGTGTAATCGTCTGTGCTAATACAAGCTGAGTTATTTGAATAGTTAGATCAGATTTTATATTTCCTTTTATATACATTACTGTAGCAGTTCAATCCAAGATCCAAGGTTAGTGTTGGGTCTTCGGGTCATTTGGTACTAGACCACAACAATAAGCATATATTTATTCTCTATAAGTAAAATATTTTGAAATTGAGATTTTTTAAATTAAAACGAGACAAATTGAACAATATAATATTTTCTAAAATAAATCTCAAATGCATTAATAGAAAAATGCAGTCGAAGTAGATCATATGAATTGTGTTATCATTTTGAATTTAATTAAGAATAGATGTAGTATGTCTTTAAATTAAGAAGGGAAAACGATCAAATAAAAAAATCAAATCCATCACTTGAGTTCACATACTAAAAAAGTATCATAGAAGATTGCTTGCTTGAAAATACAATCAATTAAGCCACCATGATCTACTATAGAATGTCATTCATGAAAAAGAAATTAAGAAAGTTTATAAATTTATAAAAATTCATAAGTTGTGATAAAGAAAAAAATAGATATATAAAATAGTAAAAATATCAAAATAGACAACTCAATTAAAAGAGTTAAAAAGAAAAAACCGATCATAAAAATTCCAAAACAATTAAATAAAAATATAAAGAACTTTTTAAAAAATGTAAAATATAGAAATAACTCCTAAGAAAATAGACTTTGACATTCTTGAATGACGGGATCAAATGCTCTCTTCTTGATCACCAAAATCATGTATTTGGAGTTTGCCTGCGACTCGATCCGGACAATCGGGCGACCCAGAACATCCTGTTTTGATCAGTGGGAGGGGGGAGACGATTTGGGCAAAGAGGATTCTCAAATGGAGAGGGTCGAGTCTGGTAGGGACATTAGGGCCAAGATGCTTGAGAAGATAGGGAAGGAGAATCCGCTAGACAGGCCAGATCCGAAGTCTGACCCGTACTCGATCAAACAAAAATGGGTGTCCTATTATAGAAATGAGAACTTTTTGGGACATCCATAAAAGGAAAGTGGGAACTTCTTTGCGGGACAGAGGTAGTAATTATCAAAATATTATGTGAAGCAGAGTAAAAATTGCTTTGAATGCACTAGGTTTGGTTATTCCTTGGCATTATTATTGTATACTCCCTCCGTCCCATTGGACTTTGCCAACGTTTCCTTTTTGGTTGTCCCAAAAAACTTTGTCACTTTGCAATTAAAGCAACTAATTTAAAGCAACTAAGTTGTGGTTCTGCACATTTCTCTCTTCTCTGCATAAATCTCAACCACACAGTTTTTACTTTTCTTATTTCTCACCTACTTTGCACAATTGCACTTAGCAAAATCCACCAGGACGGAGGTAGTATTACATTCGATGTGTTACAAAGTAAATACATTATGCGTCGTATAATTTATAAAAATTATCTGCTGGGTTAAAAAAAAAAGACGGGATTGATACACAAGAGGCATATATGCATGCGGGAGAGGACATCCACTCATTAACTCCCTTCCGCGTTTATCCCAATTCACTAGCGGGGCGGGGCATGATGCACGTGAACCGTGCCCAATGGTGGAATTTAAGACAAAAAGTTATGGGGAATAGCAGTTTAAAACATAGAGAGGAAGTAGTAAGTTAATCACTTAGGTAAATCATATCACTGTTTAAAAGGAGTTCAATGAAAGATGAAACAACATTTCAATCATCCACGTACACCATTGTATTGTTTAAAAGCAAACAAAACGGAAAAGAGATATTTATGATTGTAACGATTGCAGTGACATCAACAATAAGGATGGTAAAATAATCAAGAAAACGTCAACAAAGATGAAGAGCATTAATTTTCCAAAACTTGAAGAATAGTCAAATATATATATATATATATATATATATAGAATAAGGATCAAATGAGAAGAGTGCTTATCGTAAGAAGTGAGAATGCATCTGGTGCGTTCATTTTAAGATCTGTGCATCAGATTAGCAAAAAAGTGCACGGAAAAGTGCAAAAAATATTTAAAAAATGATGCTAGACGCGGTGGCATTTTCGTAATTAATCGGAACTTTCCTGCCATCGCAAAAAGTGCATCAGAATAGCAAAAAGGTGCATCAGAAATAGGTAAATGTGTAACTTCTCACTTCTCACGTTAAGATGTCTTCTTATTAGAACCCGACCCTATATATATATATATATATATATATATATATATATATATATATATATATATATATATATGTCTCATGAAAAACAATCGAAGAAAAGACCAGACGGAAGAAGAAACTGTACCTTCATGCCTTGGAGGAAGTGGGAGATTGATTGCTGAAAAATAATGAGAAGTAACCTCGCCTGATTTATTTCTTGTTTTTCTCCTCTCCAAAATAAAACAAATGAAACTTGGTTGTGATTACCTTTTGAAATAAAAAACCTAATTCTGTGCAGCTCAACAATGCTTATTCTGGTGCCAAAGGTCCAAAATCCATAGGTCAGGTCACTTAAAGATTTAATTGTAATTTTCAACCTTCATAAAGAAAAAATTATCAACTTCTAATTCAATGTTAGGAATAAACAACCAACTCTAACACATTAAATGAATGTCACAGGATTACTCTTAGGTATTCTGTCGGCAGAATACCTCGCAAGCCTTCTGCAAACAGAATACCTCGCAGGTCTTTTGCCAATAGAATACCTCTCAGGTCTTCTGGTCCAGAAGCCATCAGAATACCTCTCAGGTCTTCTGGTCCAGAAGCCAACAGAATACCTCTCAGGTCTTCTGGCTCAGCAAATATTTCATATGCATCTCTCCTGTGAACAGAAAGTGTGCCATACTGCCAAACATGAAAACGTTCATATTTAGCTTATCCTAAACATGTTCATGCAAAGCAGAACCATAAACATGTAAAATAATGACTAATCATTTTTTTGTTGCAGTAAAATCTCAAAGTGATGACTATCACTTCAAGATGTGCTATTACTAGTAAGAAAATAGTTTTAACTCAGTTCAGGCAAGTGGCATTGGACTTCAATCATTATAGTTATGAAGGAAATACCACTTCCGTACAAAACATAGAGAAGTATTGGCGTATAAGACGTACATTACCATGATTAAATGTATTACTTGAACAAATATCTCAATGTATGCATCCTAGAAAATGATATGTGGGGGGCTACGAAAAGTTATAAAAATGATATGTGGGGGGCTACGTTGGGTTTACCATGGAGAATGCAAAGGAAAAGTTAAAAAATGATTAGCTTTTCTCTTTTTTAAATGTATTAAGATTTCTTAGTGTTTAATTAGTAGAATAAATACAAAAAATGAGTACATTAAATAGGAGATGTACAGTTCATCCATACATGGTCCTATCCAAGCCATCCATGTGGCAAACATTGAACCGAAGAGCTGCCCAAGAGTGGCACCAGCCTCAATGAACCCAACCAATCTTGAACCTGATTGAAAATGAGGGTCATCAAACTAACTTTTTTAAAACACCATTATTCATTTATTCTATTGAGACTGAATTCACTGTAAAAAGAAAACAATAAATATTGAGCAGACGAAGCCATACAAGGTCACTTTGTGGTTTACAGTTGACAATTCAAAAACCCGTTGAACTGACCAAAAGTCCAAAACCGACATAATTTGTCAAAAGTGATCAAAACTGACAAAGTTTGAGAAAACAGCCGAAACAAATTGAAGTTACTTGGTATAATTCTCTGTTCTTGCATTTCTAAAAATTGAAAAGATATAAAACACACACGAACCAAAATGAAACAAATAAACCGCAATGAGAAACACTTCTACTAAAGTGTTCACTTGATAGTGGTAGATGGGTAGTTTTAACGACATATAACTGAGTCTACTATAAATTACTCCGTAGTTATCATGGGGATGACTTAACAATGAAAGTGGAAACAGTCAAATATTTGGAAACTGGCAACATATAATCGACTATACTCTATGTGGAATATAATTCTAGAAGGGAAAATTTTAAAGTTATAAATACACCAAACAACATATAAGATCTAAACATTGAATCTCAACCTTAAGAACCTGGCAATAATGGTGAAGAAATTCACCAAGGTGAAATATGGGTGACCTCCCAATGGAATTACCTTAACAAAAACCCCGTCTTACACCAGGCCAAAATAACCTCAAGCCAAAATTGAGAATACTTAAAAACTCAACGGCAATAATAAGTGAAGGGGAAAAAGACCTACTTGAAGCTAGCTCTATGCAAAAGTCTTCCCCCCAATGCAGCAGGAACTCTTCCAGAGAGGGAGTTGCCATTAAGATTCCTGTAACATGCTCAAGAATGAAGTTAGAGCCGATTTTATGTATTTTCCAGGAGACGTGTGATTAAGTATCTTACAATATCTTTAATGAGGTAAATTATCCCATACTTTCAGAGATGGATCCATTGAAACGATCGTACGAAAGGTCCCTGTGATAGAGAGCAAGAAGAATCTGGGGCGGGAACGGGATTGGGCTCACTTCCGTGGGCCGGTTCTGGGCTAGGGATTATAGTTTTATTTATTTATAAAATTTATCATTATGTTTTAGTTGGGCCTATTATTAGTAGAGTGGTTAGTTAAGTTAAATTGGGCTTAATTAAGGTTTAAGTAATTTGGGCTTGATTAGGGTTTCTTGTAGTAGCTATTTATACCCCTTGCTAGGGTTCATTCTGATTATCTTGGAATAAAAGTTGGTTTAGCCTTTTGGCTCTGGACAACGGTATTTATTTATCGTTGATTATCTGGGCAACGGTTCACCCCGTTGATTTTATTTTTCTGCTACACATTAATTGGTCCGACCTGCCGGATCCCGTCCCGCCAAGATGACCAGAACTCAGAATGAACGCTTGACAGAGATGGAAAACGAGCAGAACCGAATGGGAGAGGAAGTGGCCCGACTGGGGGCTGAGCAAACCCGGATGGCACTCGAGCAGAAGCGCATGAACCAGACGCTCGAAGACCACGGTGCAAAGCTGGCGGAGATCGTCGCCTCCCTGGCAGCGCTGACGCATGCCCTTGTGCCGCCAGTGTCGCCGGAAACATCCACGGCGGCCATCGGAAGCACATCAGCGACCGCGCCCAGCGGTGAAGGTTTGCCGCGCACCACAACTCCAACCAGCGGCGAAGGTTTGCCGCGCACCACAACTCCAACCAGCGGCGAAGGTTTGCCGCGCATCACAACTCCGACCTTGTTGCCTGCGTTTGATGGCTCAGATCCCATCGGATGGGTGGCCAGAGCTGAGCAGCAGTTTGAACTTCATCAAACCCTACCTGGAAGCAAAGTGGCAGCAGCTACTGTAGCCATGGAAGGGGCTGCCCTGTACTGGTTAACCTGGTTGAGGGCACGGAAACCGGGCCTGACTTGGGAGGAATTCACAGATGCACTGGTGGCCCGTTTTGATTCACGGTTCAAGGGCAACCGATTTGAACGGCTGTCCGGGGCCAAACAGTTGGGAACCATAGAAGAATACAATAACCTTTTTGTGCAGTTGGCCAGTCAAGTTCCTGGACTGTCCGATGATCACTATTTGGGGTATTTCATGAACGGGCTGAAGGGACCGATTCGGGGATCCTTACGATTGTTGCGGCCAAACAGCCTGGAGATTGCAATGGAGTTGGCCAAAGATATTGAGCACAACTTGTCCTTTCAAGAGGGAGACTGGGAAAGTCAACCCTTCGACACAAACTTGCATTCGAGTAGTTTTTTGCGCCCAACTGGCAGTAAAAGCACGACCATAGGTGGTGGCAGCTTAAGAGGATCGAATGGCAGCTTTCCTAAAGACATTGGGCAGCCTCCGGGGACAAAGTCAGGGCTGTCCGGGCAGCCCACGACACGCTCACAGTTCACTCGACTTCCGCCGAAAGAGTTTGCAGAATTGCGGGCGAAAGGATTATGCTTTAGGTGTAAGAAACCATTTACACCAGGGCATGACTGCCCCTTTAAGCAGTTGCGGGTAATGATAGCTGAGGAGGATGAGGAGTTGGACCTCCAGCAACATGAGTACTGTGAAATAACTGGTCGGGAAAAGGTTCTGAAAGGCGATGAAGGATATTTTCCAGTCTATTCCATGGTTGGAAATTTCAGTCCTCGATCTGCGAAATTACAACCTTGAGGACAAGGTTTTGAAGGGGGTGGATTGATAGAGAGCAAGAAGAATCTGGGGCGGGAACGGGATTGAGCTCACTTCCGTGGGCCGGTTCTGGGCTAGGGATTATAGTTTTATTTATTTATAAAATTTATCATTATGTTTTAGTTGGGCCTATTATTAGTAGAGTGGTTAGTTAAGTTAAATTGGGCTTAATTAGGGTTTAAGTAATTTGGGCTTGATTAGGGTTTCTTGTAGAAGCTATTTATACCCCTTGCTAGGGTTCATTCTGATTATCTTGGAATAAAAGTTGGTTTAGCCTTTTGGCTCTGGGCAACGGTATTTATTTATCGTTGATTATCTGGGCAACGGTTCACCCCGTTGATTTTATTTTTCTGCTACACATTACCCTGCGATACAAATATTGAATTATGAATCCACCAAGCCAGCATTTTAAAGTGAAGAAAATTGATGCCTTGTTTTATGTATTTGTTTCATGCTTTGTGAGTCATTGTATAGCAGTGAAGTGGGAAGCAAACAATGAAGTACATACTAACAGAGATTTCACTTACAGGAGATTCTACAATAAGAAAATCACATATTCATTAAATTCATACGCACAGCTTCAGAAATTTCCAAGTTCAGATTTACAAATCATCACATTTGAGTTTACAACAATATGCTTCATATATAAAATCAAATAGGCATATATATCAGTAAACAAATAGCTACAAACCAATACCGGCTATATATAGATGCTTCGTAGCATCACAATCCGACCACAGAATCTAAACCATCGGCAGAAAAGCAATCAGCTAATAGAAAATTAGTAACAAATCCAAAAACCATCATTAATTCAATTATTTGAATTTAATTTTAGAAGTCCTAAATGTAATAAACTTACGGTGTAAAGTTTGTAAATCTCTCTTGCCAACTGCTACTTGACGCTAGTTGTTTGTTGTCTCAAATAACATGAATCCTAGACAGAAATTTAAGAGGAAGAGTATAAATATCCTTACATAATTGAAGGTCAACAGTATAATAAGTGTATATGTAAATGCAATTAAAGGATCTTTACCATAATTAATAATATACATTAACTTACCTGATACAACATCATAAAGTTTAATCAGATGCAGGAGTAGGGAGAATTTCGATATAAGAAGCCAAAATCAACATGAAATTAATAACCCATGCCACTACTATAATACCTAAATTGAAAATATGTTCTTTACAGTACTGACATGCGAAACTGGGACTAATATAAAATTCCCCTCTCCATTAGTTTCTATTCCCCTCTCATTCTGCTAGGAGTACTTTGCTAACCTGGGGGTATCGTAGATGATCTCTGTTAGTTGTATCTTCTTCAAGATATAGCACAACAAACCGTTACATTTCAGTTTATGAGAAAGCATTTTGTAAAGGCTAAGTGGAGAAGCTGCCAAAAATACTTGTCTGACACACTTGATAGTTTTGTTTTGTCTGAGATAAATGAAGTTCCTTATTCCAATTTTACATAAGGCTCCGTTTGATTGGCAGAAATATTTTTCTTCAATATTATTACCTGCTGCATAAGGACATTGTTGTCACCCTCAAAGGTAGACTCAACATCAAATTCCCCTTTTGACTGACCAGTACGGTTTTCAGTCTTCAACCCTTGGCCTCCAAATGCTTCTCTACATTCCTGATTCAATTCATAAAAATCAAATTAAATCATGGAACATCGATTACATCTAAAAACAATCAACTGCTAAAGCATGTCAGTTAGTACCTGGAGAGTTTTCATGTTATGCCAGGTTACGGTAGCTTTAAATGCACTGGACATAACATGTACTACGTATAGTTTTGTTCATTGCAAGTGTTCTCTTCACATACAACACTTTTAAGGAGTTAGCAGCAAAGTTCATGGCATACCTGAATTCACAAACAAAAAAAGCAATAGCAATTATTTGATCCCTATGGATCAAATAAAAAACCTAGAATTTAATCCTAGACGTTAGCAGTATAAATTCATTCAATTGGACAGAGGAAAGAAACTGACCTGTCTGGATGTGTATGTCTACATAGTTTGGCTGCATCGCTCACAGAACATACCTATCACGTTGAAATCCTTCCGTCATATCACAGAATTATTCTAAAATTAAACCTTGGAAGTTAAAAAAAAGTCATCTTTTTTCATATGCACTACACCATAGACATCATGTATCAAATATTTCATCTATTTTTTGAATTACAATATACAATTATAAAAAGTTAGAGACAAAACAACTATAAGACAAATCCAATTACAGTTATAAAACATTAGTACAAAACGTAAATGACAAATAACAACAACATTATAAGAAATTAACAATCAATCAAACATTATCAAGTTATTAATTAATAAAAAAGTGCATATAATGATTAATAAGTCAACATATTCTTAGCAGTGGCGTAGAGAATGTTCTGTAGTTTGTAGAACTCCTAAATTCCAAAATCCCTATATTTTTGTAAAACTCACTGTATAGAAATTTATCACAACAATTTAATTTGAAAATCCATGGAAATCGAAAATCGAATAAGGTATATACCGTCAAAGCAAATACACGAACACGAAGCACAGTGCAAACAGGAAACCCAAAGCTACAACCGACTCGTGGTAGTTGGGGGTTTGGGGCATTCCGGCCATGGGGGTTTGGCCGGGCACTCAGCGGCTCTTTCGACGGAAGATTTCTGCAGATGGACATAGAGAGCGGTTCCTGGAAGATTTCTACAGATCGACTATGGGCTGTGCGAAATGAGGAGAGGAGATAGGTAGATTATACTGGGGAGAAAGAATGTGAGGAGAGCAGCACAACAGAAATGTGAGCCGCTTATATTTTATATACTCCCTCACTCCCAAAGAGGTCGGACAAATTGACTTTTCTTGATCAATAACAATCAGACCAATTATATTTTTTAGTACGAAATTAGTTTGAATATGAAAATTATATCAAATTGTTCCTTATTCAAAATATTTTCGTAAAATTAAAAAATTATAAATTATATACAAATATAATAATTAAAATCATTGTCCAAAGTTTGTCATCATTGACCTAGAAAAGTCAATATGACAAACTTTTTCGGGACGGAGGTAGTAGTAGATTCAATTAATGTAGAGCATTTCCAATAGTACAATGTGCATCGGCATGAGAGATAGCCACATAAATATTAGTAAATAAATTCTTTATCTCCTTATTTGAATGCTTTTATGCAGTTTTGGTAAGTTTTTCTCCACAATGTCAAGGAGACTGTCTAGATATTGACATTGCAGTTGACATTGTAGGGGAAAACTTACCAAAATTGTATAAAATAATTCAAATAAAGAGAGAGATAATTTATTTGTTAATATTTATGTGGTTATCTTTCATGTCACATGTGCACCGTGCACACTATAGCATTGGAGATGCTCTTGGGGTTCGCTTCTAGTCCATTAAAACCGATTTATTTGTTAATATTTATGTGGTTATCTTTCATGTCACATGTGCACCGTGCTCTGGAGATCCTCCACATTTATCCGGGTGTGAAAAACCGACACCACGGATTTCTCCCGGGGTGCTCACCTCTTATGAAAATGTTAATTTTCATCTTGAATCAAGATACACTTCAAAATATTTTCCAAACTCTCTAAATAGTCTAAAAGGTGTTTAAAAGTATTTAATACCCCAAAAGTACATCGTTTGTATTTCTCAAATACTATAGATTAAATATCTCTTTAAATAACACGTATACATAATTCAAAAACTCAATACATAATCACATAGCACATAATAATCACACAGCACAGAATATTTCTCAAGTCTCCAAATATTCTCAATGGTGTTTAAAAATATTTAATACCCCAATATCTCAACTTTCTCAAATACTATAAATTTAATGTCACTTCAAATAATACATATTCAAAATTCAAACTTTAATCAAATAATAGCATATAATACGAGGAAACCATTTTGGATCGGCAGAGAAACTTACAATTTAGGGTTTATCCAAAACTAGTTCCAAAATAGTATTTAATACCATATTCAAAATAATCCAATAAGGATATTTATAACTCCAGAATATATATGTAATTTTCATACCAAATTATACATTTAAAAATATATAATTTATCCCAAAAGATTTGATCTCACAACACTTTCCAAAAAGAGGGTTTAGCCCAAACAACCACTTCCCAAAAGTAGCATTTACTACTACCACCAAAATAATCAAATTGGAGTATTCTGAACCCATAATATATTTTCAATATAACCAGTTATAATAGTCTCAAATCATTCTTCAACTCATACCAAAACAATCACCAAAATTTTCCAATCCCAAAAGAACAATCATCAAAAATCACAATTTTAGCCATGATAAACTGATTTGATAAATTCACCAAAAATAACACGTTCATAAATTCCCAGAAAAGAATACATCATCATACTCATACTATTATAGCCGAATTATCCATAAAATTTCAGAAAGAAACTCAAATCATAGCACAAACCCTAGTTTATACAATATAGGGGCAAAATAATAATTTTGGTTGCAATAGTCCTTACCTCGAGGCTAGCAACGAATCCTAAACGTCAAACCTAGTTTGATGGATCATTCGCACGTACCTAGGAAGTGATAGGTTCGAAGGATGTCAATTTAGGAGAAAGGAATTTAGGAAACGGATGAACAACGCGAATTAGGCAACAAACGCACTTACCGGAATATTGGATTGTTTGATCTCATCATTGGCATAAAATTTCGTGCTGGATACGTTAATATTGAAGAGCTGGAAGGGATAGAGCTTGAAGAGGAGGTCCTAGGATTTTTGGAATGAGGAAAATCGGATTAAGGATGTATTTATAGTGAATTTCCGAAGTTTGATTTGCATTAGGATACAACAGGAACGCACGCGTGCGTACCTTCCACGCACGCCGTGCGTGACCCCCAGACGCCCAAACCTTAGTTTTTGCCCATTTCTTCCCCATTTGGACCTCCTCTTTGTCCCAAACACTAAACCAGACATAATAAATGACCTAAAGACCGTGTAAACAATATGAAACACAATTTTAATTATTTCCTAAATTCTCTCAAATTTTCGGGGTATTACAATGAACCTCGCTCCAGTCTGGGAGAAAGCACCCCAGTGGGCCAAGGGCTCGTGGACGTTCATCAGGTGGGGGGAAAGTCCTCTCATTTGGCAGGCTTTGGGGACATTCGTCTAGGGGGCCTTAAGGGTTGATGGGTCATCCCTTGTTGGGCCATTAACCCAACACAAGTCTCTCACTTCTGATTTTCCGAGTGTGCGCAGAACTTGAGGAAGTAGAAGTGCTCATGTCGTGCTTATATTCATCGACGTGCCTGATGTGATGGTTGCTTTCAGGCGGCGATTCACGAAGCCCTAGGCGCCAGTTACAGCAGAACGGTACAGTTTTTTATGAGGGGTCATCATTACGCGCTTGTTCATCTCCACGCAACATGTGTCCCTGGGTACGCTCCTCGCCACGCGTAGCCACCTGGTTGGTTCGCTTGGAGGCCCATTCCTCTATAAATACCAAATCTCTGGTAAGTTTAGGGTTCTCACCTCTCTGCCTTTTTTGTTTTCAAGTGTTCCTGTTGTTCTGCTGCCAGTGTTCCCTGCGCGTTTTGGACCAACCGCTCCTACATCGTAAGGTAATTTGCGCTCTGATTCTCCCATTTTCTTTTCTTCTCCTTCGATCAATGGCATGCTCAATGGAAATTTCCTCAAGTTCGAGTACTACTAAAATATTTAATTAATCCAAGTTCACTCGATGCATCACTCTTATTCACTCGGTGCAACACAGGTATTCATTTTAAACACGTCAACTAATTTGGAGAAAGGGTAGGACAAACAATTTCTTTTTTGAAAGTGCTCTAACCATTTTTTGTACTCCAATTTTTATAATAAATATATCAAAATTCATAACATTCTAGTATAATTCATATGACATCGAGTCTACTAGATTGCCAGTAAATAAACATGTCTTTACAGTGGAAGGTTCAAAGGATAAAACCTACCTCTCCGTATGCAGGGATCATACGGTGAACACAACATGTCATCCTATCTTTGTGTCTTTTTAAAGTCTCGAAAATCAAATTTTATTCATGTGGGGGATCATTGAAAAAATGTGTTAAAAATTGCATTAAATGGTAAATTTGGGGCAATGTTTTGAGTGGGGTCCACTTCCTATTTGGGTCTGGTCAAAGTGGTTTCGGATTGTCCTTGTTAAGGGCTACAATTCGATATGTGATACACTCAAAACGGATAACGGGTGAATGAGAAATTGATTCTTGAAGTTCACTCGTTGAAATGAAAAAACTGAGAAAATGGTGGGTTTGTAGTGGGATTTATCCCATACCTGAAAACCCAAGGGATTTTCACCACCTTAGGTGGAAAGACTCTCTTCACTCGCAGGGAGGGGGGTGCCGAACAAATCCCGAAAATGGAGAAGAAAAATCACGACTTGCGGACACGAATGTCATTTGTTTTGTTTCTTCCCGTAACGTTTTAATTTTTTCCTAGCTTCTGCGCACCAGAGGGGTATTCCGGTGGCTTATGAACCAGAATACCCGAGGACAGTTTTGGCCTGTTACAGCAATAAATTCCCAATGTTAAATGGACAGTTCATGGACGATTCAATGTCCAACGGACTGGTCATTAACACACAACAAATCCTTCTATAAATAGCTCACAGGTGCTTTGCAACAACACATGCAATCATACACAATCTGCACGTATTTTTGAACTCTAAAACACCTCTAGCTTTCCCGAAATATTCCTGATTGTTCATACTTTGTTCTCGTTCACCAGAACTTTCGTTTCTGTGCTCAAACGATCGTTCGTTAGCCACCGTATCCTGGGAAATGGTCGTTGCAACGCTCCTAGCACCGTGGAAGGCGACGAATACGTTTTAAGAACATCGTGTTACGCACGAGCTCTGGCTAATTTCTATCCCATCTATTTTCCGTTTTTCTTTGACTATTTTATTTATTAATTAATTTTATTTAATTAATATTTCTTCGTTTTCCCTATATTACACCCAACATATACTTTTTAAGTGCCATATAAACTTGGCTCAATTTCTTTCTCCCCAATTCAATGTCACTTTTGCAACAACAAAAATGACAATGAAAATAAAAACGGTAATTTGTAGCCAATGTTTTAGATAAAATTTTCTGATAATACCCAAATGGGTTCATGTTTGAGACTAATAAATTGCAAAGCAATCATCACAGTTCATCTAATAGTGATCAATTAAATTACATGAAATGCATATGTATCATTTATAATATCAAATACTTGCAAATTTAATAATATCTAAAAGACTACATATGAAAGAGAAACAAAGATTTGTCATGCATCACCTATCCATGCTATTGGCTAGGCTAATATGTAGTTTCACAATTAAAAACTAAACCTTCTGGATTCAGGTTAAAGGCTTCTTCTTAAGCTACTCGCCCATACCATTTGTCGGCTCTTATAAACTATATTGGGCACTTATTCACCATAGAGCTTTAATTTCTTCAAATTTCGTTTGTTTTAATGAAAACGAAAACAAATGCATTATGTATAAATTGTATTTCCACTTGCACAATTTTATTTAATTTTAAGTTCACTTTAGGCGTACACACAAACTACTACCTTAGACTATCTAACTCGATTAACACTATTTTGTAAAGGACACCAACTTTTATGTTTTCTCTTACATCTTGGTACCCTAAACAAGAAATAACAACCCAAAAAAGAGCTCAATACATCTTAGCATCTCTTGTATTTTAGTCTACAAAAAACAAACTAC